TTGTAAACAGATCAAATAATTGCAAATGTTTTAATCGGTACCAATAAGTGGAAGGCAAGACAGTTACTGGCACCATAAGCAATGTTGTGGATTTCGATCTAACCATATCGAACTTTAATAATCAAATATAAAACAGATTTACGTCACAACTGTTAACAAAATATTTATACAGAACTAATATACTAAAAAACAAACAAATTAATATATAAATATATTTTTTTCAATCAATTATTTAAGTAACATTTAATAATTGAACTTGTTCAATGAACTCTAAACTGTATTTCAAGAATTATGTAAAATATACAAATCGCTCAAACATTCAAGGTGACCTTCATTTAAACAATTTTTAGAACTAGAAAACTCACAATACTTAAGAAAAGTACAATTGTTTTGCTAATGTTTTAAAAAAACCGAAGATAGTAAAGAGCTTCATACAACATTTTTTTTGTTATAATCTATTACTGTACTGTACTTCAGTGTATCAGTGTTTAAATGCTCCTCTAACCCAAATTATTCTTCCGGCCTTATCCACAGTCAAACTTCATTGGTAGTTGATTCAGTCTCTTTGGAACTTCAGTATTTATACCAACTACTTCATTGTATATAAAAATTTTACTTCAATAACAATACGTACAAGACATCATACTTGTGTTACCAACAAGACATCAATGCAATTCCATCAACAAGATGGAACTGCTTACTCTTAAGGAAGAATTTTTAACGAGTTTTCAACATTATGTCCAATAGTCAAATTCAGGCCATGTGAGACTTCTGGAAAAGTTTTTAGTGACAATCTTCAGTTTTATCTGAGAGGAAACCTAAGCAAACAGCTCATATCTTTGTCTGAATATAGGAAATTCTCAACAACAGATATTCTGGTCTTTATTCGAAGGACTAAATATATTTTATACGGTTGGGATTGGTTGTTAGCACAAAAGATCATCTATAGTTGCAAGCTAATTGCTCAACGGAAATAACATCTGTCAACAATATATTCTATATATTCTATAAATTATTACAGATTCTCTAGAATCTAGAGTCTAACTATAGAATCTATAATAGATTATTAGAAAGTTTGTGCGACTGTTTCAAAAGGTTTAGTGTGATATAATTGTCTTAACTAATTGGTTTTTTCATTTGTGTGTTAGCAAAATCTTTCCTTATGAAATTTGGACAATATCTTTATATCTATGAGATAGTTGGTACATTGAAGCAACGAACTTTATTTTGTAAGTAATGTTAGATTTCTAGATGTGTTTCATTTGCAAAACTCCAAAAGAGCTTCAGTATTTGATTATATTGTATATAATGAACTCAAAATGACTTAACGAAGCAATCATGAGTGTAATAGACAATGCATGCCTCTAATTTTATATAATACTTTAAGTCTATAATTTTTTAATAATATTATGTGTCGGTTTATTGCTCGTTCTTTCTTAAAGTTTATCAAATTACTACTATAACAACCAAACATAACCCAACATTAACACACAAAAGTACAAATGAAAGTTAAAACAGTTTTACAATAATAAATTTGCTTTTTTATAAATAATAGCATATAACCGAAGGTAAAATACGAAAGCTAAAAACGATTTAAATTTTTAAATACTTGAAATGAAGATTTCAATTAAAAACTATTAAAAAGATAAAACTAAATCATTTCTCTTTGCAGATATATTTTGGCAATAATATTCACTTCCTCAAAGTGCAGAATTCAATTTCAACGTTTACATACTACTAATATGAAATTTATTATAGGAAATTTTGAACTCTAAAGTTTATCTAATAGTTTGTATCTCATATAGACAGTGAGTTACGAAAAGCGGAAACAAACTTTAAATGCAGTTGTAAATAAAAATGAAGTAAATAAGTATCTGAGTTCTTCACATGCGAAGTTTTAAGCGCTTCGCTGATTACAATTTCAACAACAAAATAAAAATGGAATTAAATATTCAAAATATTGTTCATTATGATTACGGGAGCAATTATTAAGCAATACTAACAGCGAACAGTTACTAACAGCGAATAGCAATTACGGACGTCCGATTATAGTGGTGCAGTAGTGTGCAAAGTACAATACAAAAAATAAAAAATAAAAAATAAAAAATAAAAATAATAACAATAGCACTAACGATAAAAATATGAAAATAAATAATACTAAATAACTTTATAATATATATATACAACAAATAAAAAATTGTATCAGCCAACTAGCACAAATAGAAAAACAAACAGTACCTACTTCTACAACAGTTGGCAACGATAGCGGGTTGTTGAAAATTGTTTGTCGTAATGGAACCTATTAAAATTAGTAATTTGCCACCATTACCAAAAATAGCTGACTCAGACGTAAATTGAATTCATTAATTTTATATGCTATTAACTCCTAAAAGTTTTTAGTGGAACTGCAATAAAAATAAATAAATAATTAAAATTTCTTTCAACGAGAGAGAGAGTTGTGTACTTTCCATACCTAAACTATTAAACCTAGTATTTAGGTATTTCTATATAAGGAATAAAACTTTAAGACAATTGAAATAGTAACAACAATAGATTTAATATAATACATTTTCAAATTTCTAACTCAGGTGAATTACTTGATCATTATTGTAAAAACTATTAACAACTGTTAATAAAATTTTTATTTCTATGTACTATATACTATTACTATTATATTATCATTATAATATTTCTATATTAGAGATACAGTCAAACTTCCATAACTTGAATTTCTATAACTCGAATTTTCTATAACTCGAACCAAAAACAGTGCACCAAGGTTTTAGAGAGCAAATTACATACAATTCTGTTTTCATAACTCGAACTTCTATAACTCGAATTTCTCTATAACTCGAACAAAAATTTTGTTCCGTGCTGATATGAATATGGGAAAGTGCATTCTATAAGTCGAATTTTTGTTTTAAGTATAAATGCATTTTGCTGATAGGGGAAGTCCCTTTTTCCAAACCAAACATTTAATTTTTACTTATGTTGCTTCTTTGTGCAAATACCAGTCCTGGCAGCGTGGTTGAAAGTAAATAAAATAACTTCCAATGCTATTCTTAACGATTATATTCAGCTAGTGATAAGAGTATGAATAAAGTGGAATCGCTTTTTACTGAAAATAAGAAAAAAATTAAAGTCCCAAACCCTAATTACTGAATATACCCATAAGTCGAACCTTTTCTTTGCAAAATTGGACTTCGAGTTATGGAAGTTTGACTAAATAATAAAACTTTAAAACTTTTGAAGTTAAAAATTTCAAATAATTATTTATAAACTTCTTAGTTAATGGTGACCTAATTATCGAATTGTCTTACACCAATAATAATCATCGCCTAATGTGCCTAATTACGAGGGCATTCAATGAATTTTTGTATTTCCTGCATATTTACTTCAAATGCAACTCTACTACTCTCATCAACTATCATCTGTTAAAATCAATAACTGTAAAATATTGAACAAGCTGAGAGATCTAACTTATATTTGTTGGCAAATGTTAAACCGCAATTCAAATGAGTTTTTATGCCGTTTCGCTACCATAGAAGAAACATGGATCTGTTACAACACACCAAAAACGAAATAACAGCTAAAACAGAGAACTTCTTCAGGTAAATGTGCACCTGAAGACCAAGGTGGATCTGTCATCAAATAATCATGGCGATCGTTTTTTGTGATGCATGTGGTATTATTACATTGATTACCTTATAAAAAGTAAAGCGCTCACCAATAAATAGTATTTAGAGTTGTTGGACTGATTCGTTATCAATTTCAAGCAAAAACAACTCGACCCTTGCCATGATAAAAATTCATAAATTAAACTACAAACTCCTACCCCATTTAGCATATTCTCCCGATCAAGCTCTTTGCGATTAGTTTCTTTTTATAATTGCTATATAAAAACAATTATACAAGTTCGTTCTATTCGCTACAATCTATTTTAAATGAATTCACTTTCTTTGTTAATTTTATTTAACTATTTTATCTTAGCGATATTATATAGCTCATTATTAAGCTCTACTAAACTTAATTCATTGTTTACTTTTTTGCTTCTTATCTTCTCTTAAATTCTGACTAAGTGAAAATAAATGGAATACCATAATTTATTTAAGTGAAAATTAAACCTTGTAATATAATATATATGAACAATTAAATTGAAAATAGTTTGCAAAGATCCCTGGAGATGAATATTTAGAAGTATAGCACACTATTTTATGAATGTAAAAAATTTTTACATAATTATATAAATTAACTAGTAAAAAAGAAAATTTTAAAATAAGATAAAATTTATTTTTTAAATTATATTTTTTGGGTGTGAAAAGATAAGTTTTAACCTTCATTTAACATAATTTGTTTGAATGTATGGAATGACTTTTTAAACATTTTTTTAAACACTTTATGTGCAATTGTTTAATGTTAGTTAAGATATATTAAAACGTGTTTTATCATCATAAACGTGATATTATACACTACTTATATTAAATTTCTATCTGCAGTTAATTTTCAATAATCAATTTGCTCTTAATGTTTGCTCTAAGCCACAAAATTGTATTTAATAATTATATTTTAAAATAATATAGCTTATTAAAATAAATATTAATAACTGATATTAAATAAATTCATGAATGGATGTGCAAAAATACGGAAGAATATTTTATGTTTATAAGAAATACTTGCAAATTGTTAAAACAGTTTCCTCTACTTCACACTATAACATATTAATAATATATTGATAGTTGATTTTTAATTAATTTTATGAATTAATAAAAATTCTTAATATATGGATATCAGTATCAAATATACTGTGCAAATTCTTTCAATTCATTTGTTTACAAAGCCAACTCATAAGACAATATTAAAATAAAATTTAATTAAGATAAAAATCTTCTATAGTCATAGGCGAAGCTCTTTTTGATGGTTCATTTTTACGTACTTTTATATATATTTTCTATACATAATAATATTATATTTTTCTATTATGTTTATTATGTTTTACTTACGAAATAAATCTTTGCGCGCTAGATTTCTGGCACACAATACTAAAAGTAAGAAGAAGAAAAAATTATTATATTAAATAATATTATTATTTAATAATGTTTATATGTATATACTTACTTGTAATTCGAACTTTGTGTGCTCCATTACGTCGCGGATAATCCAAATTATTCATAATTTTAGCTTTACTCTTTAATTATTTTAATAATTAATTGAGCAGCAAATATGAAAAATTTTTTAATTAATTTTGCAATACAAAACTTATGAAATGAACATATAAAAATTGCGGCAGCATTTATAAAGCGTAATTAATAATATACAAATATGGACATAAATAAATTAGAATATTATCTTTTTTATATATATAATATTAAATGCATTTTTGTGTTATATTGCAGCTATTGTGGTATTTGTTGATTGTTTTGATTGCAGTAAATAATAATATTGGTGTTGTTCGTTCTGTATTGCAGGCGTTTCAGTTGAAATTGGGAAAATGACCCAAAAACGCATCAATAACGTATATAATAAATGTGGAGGTTTAAAAATCGATTTCATTGATAATTTATTTTAAATAACATTTAAGTCATCGCGTCTTTTTTTTATATAATCTTATTCGGAAATTTTATTATTGCTCTGTAATTGTAAAAAAGAAAAAAAAAGTAATTAGTAAATATTGTTCATATACCATAATATTTCAAACATATAATTAAATATTATATAAAGTAATAATATAAATTAGATCGGTTTGCTTAAAATTTATATTACTATTTGGATAAGGACAGAGATCCAAAACTTTAGACTCCATTGAGATCAAATTGATAAGCATATATTTAAAGAAACATATATATATATATATAAGAATTTATTACTCATCCATTATAGTCAGCTTTTATATATATATTGTACTTAAAGTACCGTATACAAATTAATATAACATTTCCGATTCAAAAATGTTAAGTAAATTTTTAGATTACAGATATAAGAAACAACAAAAAAACTTTAATATATTACTCACTAAGCATAAATGTTTTACGATCAGATTTAATGGTTTATACACAAAGAAATATAAGAATATATAGTAATACTTCTATATAATATAATATATAAGCCCATTCTGCTCAATTCGCTAGCTTAGAACTAATAGATCTTAACTTGCATAATTTATCAGTTATTCTAACCTATTGTGGTGTGACTCTAGTTCCTGCTGAATGATTTGAAATCAGGTAAAGGAAATATAAAATAATGATTAAGAGATGGGTGAGGAAGATTAAACGAAGATTATATCTAAACTGTATCGAGGAACATAGCAACCTTAACGGCACGGATTTACAGAACAATTACAGTTTCAGAGCCACAGCATGTGTAGGTAAAACAATTGAACAAATGGACAACATTTTAAAGTCTAGAGTTGCAAATTGACTTGTGCCAGGATTATAATGGAAAAACGTGATAGGTAACTTTTTAACAAGTAACTGTAGTTGATCTCAGTAGGGGCAACAAAAATTTTTGTTAAGAACCAAATAACTTTTAATAATACTCATTGTAATAGACCAAGCCGCTATTTCTTATCCAGTAATACACCGTATACAACACACATGAAATCAATACTCGTTTTGTATAATCTCGTTTCCCTCTCTAGAATAAAGCTATATTCAAATTTATAGCTTTAATTAATATCGATGGAGTTCCTTGAAGTTTCAATGGAGATGCTTATCGTAAAATTATACTAATATGTGTGTAAAGAGAGCCTTAGTATTAAGCCTTCACAGCCGGGAATCACATTGAAAATTATAGACTCTGTAACATTTGTATATTTCAGTTTACAGGTGGGTCGGTAATAAACAAAATTTGCGAAAACACAAAGCACAATTCAAATATACACATGTTTATTTCATAAAACTGACTAATAACATGCACATCTTAAATAATTTACATCTAGATTAAACACTTTTAACACATCTATCATGTCTTTAAGGATCTATACGGAATTTCGATAAACGAGCTTTATCTTATTACCTTCTCATATCACACCTCCTTTAGCCAACTATTTCCTCAAACATATACGTATTTTTTATTGGTTTCAGGTTATCTGCGTTATAGATCTTCAGAGGTTATTACAACAACAATCTACTTATATCTTCCTTTAAATAAAAAATATAAATAAATTCAATTTATTCTCTCAGAAGGCATATCATTTGGATATAAAAACTTTCAGAACTTCTAACTAACAGTTATATAGAACTTTTTACTAAAGACACTAAAGTTTTTGTATAGCTTTGGAGTAACTTTTCTTGGGTAAAAATACCACAACGTCCCTAAATATATATAGATATGCCTAAAAATGAAAAATAGAACGTTTGTCTATAGCCTGTAAAATATTTATGTTACAAAAGAAGCAGATCACAAGATAATTTGATCTGTTTTTCAAATTTATATTTCTAACACGGAATAAACAAATAATCAATGTTAATAAAATACTTTCATAAATATTTAAACAAAAATTTTACTTTATATTTTTTTAAAAAATAAATTTTGTATGTCAACCGACATAAGTTGTAGAACTCTCTGACTTCAGGAGACCCAAATGCGTCTAATAATTATATTTAGATCCGATAACTCAATACAACATGACACAAATTATGAACAATATGTGTACAATTTTATATAGTTAAGTTTGTGCCTATTTTATATTTTTATTTCTTTCTTTTTTTTGTTGATAACACCGATCCATATAGCGCTAATCAGCATCGTACTGATAATATTAAAACCTAAGTCACAGTGTGGGGTAAAGGGCGTGGTATTTTTTGTATAAATCTTGAAGAAAAAACTTTTAAATTCGAATTTTCGTTAAATATAATTAATTCTTCACGTAAATGAGGTTAATTAAAGAATCTCATACGACAATCAGTCACCATAAATCAGTCTGCAGAAGCGTATAAAGTACAACTTTAATTGTTGCTAGCCATGCACTGACGAAAATAATTCTAAATGTGATTTTTAATTTATAAGCACATATGTAAAAAAGTCTTTAGAAACAATTACTGTTAAAAGTAATTTTGTTGTATATTTAAAAAAAAATAATATTAGAATACACTTGCTATAAAATCCGTTCGCAAAACAATAAGACAAAATACATTGCGAATGCAAGCTCATAAGGAGTTAATAAGAAATAGGGAATGGCAAGGACATACAGCACGCTATGCGGCTTCGTATTAATAAAATTATTTATTAATATATATATATATTTAAAATAAAATAAGTACGAAATATATTTATACATTCTATTTACCTAAATTATTTATATTTTGCTACGACACGGAGTAACATATATTTATAAATATTTCCATTTATAACAATATATAAGAAATTACATATATAATTTTAACACATTTACTATTTATATATTTATTTATTTCACAACATTTAAAAGAATTAATTAGCCATTAATTATTTTCTGCTCTTTTTGAACATTCTTATTTTTATATGCACTTTATTCATTTTCTTTGTAATTTATTGCAGCAGCACAAAATTTATTTTAAATCGCATATTTCATTTCTCTTTCTTAATATAAATGCACCAATATATTTTATAACTGTAATTTATTTATAAAATAATTGTGTTTCCGTATTTTTATATACCACGTCTTTCTTTTCTTTATTTTATAGAAGAAACTCGGATATAATTGCAAGACGAACCACCACGGCGAGAAACGCCATTTTTATTGTGGGTTCACAATTTTTTGAACAATTTTATTTTTCTACTGTCTTCCTTTTACACTTCATTCATGAGGTGTGGGAGTGTTAGTTTTCATAAAAAGTATGAAACACAGTGTTGTATTTTTCACCACTAAATTAAAGGTGAAATTAAGTTAAGAGCAGTATATGGTATAATAAATTTATTAATCAATATAAAATTCCTTTTCTTTTACTGCATATGTCTTTATATTAAATATTTTGTTAAATATTTTTGAATTTTAATAATGTATCACATATTTTAAAAGTACTTTTTTTAATATCTTTATTTACATAGATTACAAAATTCGCAATATTGAAAAAAAATTATTTCAAATTTTAAACGTAGCTATTTAAATGTAGCGAAAACTCATATATGTGACATAATATATAAAGTAATATAAGTAGTGTATATTGAAAATCAAATTGAATTAAAACAATTCGTACAACTCGTATTAGGCTAGTCGAGAACAAGAACACAAAAGATTTACACAAGAGCTACTGGTCTTAACTATGACAATCACATAGTTCTAAAACTATATGAATATAGTTTTCACTTTAGGCACATAAATAAACGATTAGAGCATGATACAGACGGTGAGTATGCCGAGCTACCGAATCACACTGTGTATATTTAAGTATTGATAACAAATTTCGATATGCAGACATGTAAGCGGAAAAATCATATTTTGTTTCAAAGTGTATGGGAAAAGCCATACCTGATCTGCATACTTGGTGTGTTGACATGTACCGTCGTCTATATCATACTTAAGTTAATTCGATTATTGTAACCAGGATTGTAGAGTTGGATTACGGGAGAAATGCGAAAAATGTTGTCCAGATAAAGAGTGGGAAATTGGAAAGGTTTTTGCCTCACATTGTTAAGTAGGTTAACTGAAAATTTTGTGTAGAAGAATTTAAACTCTAAAATTAATGAAAATATGTAAGTGTTTCTTAACACTTCTAATCAAAACAAAGCGAAATAAAAATTAGAGATATATATTTTAAAACAACTTTTTACAATGTATATAACGCAATTAAAGTGTTTCATTTACTACAATTTACAAGTAGAATAATATAAACCGTTCACACATTATAATATAGTGACCTCATATAACAAATAATAAACGTATAATGTTATATATGTATGTATTTAATATAATTGTTTTTTTTTGACTTTTTTGGGCTTTAATTAAAATAATAATTTAATTTTTTATTTTGATATCTTCTCCATATAAAACAGAACCGAAATTCAACACTTTTTGTCATTAATTGTGAATGACAATTATTGGTAAATAAATAATTAGTTAAATTGTGAATGGTTAATTGCTATTTACAAAATCAGCTGTTGACCAACCTTGCTTTTGCGCTTTTTTATTGTGTACTCGGTTTTATTGTTTGTTGATGTATCGTCGGTTCTCATACTTGTTTATTATGTCTATCACAATTGAGTTGAACAAAAAGCAATTAGATCAGAAATTAAAAATTCATTATTTCCCAGCAAAAATAGATGGTGAGGGTGAAACTAACGCAGATGACTATTTTAATAATTATACAAAGCATGAACATGGGTGTCTAAGTAATGCTTTACGCGGTTTTCCTCTACAAGGAGAAGTTTCAACAGTACCGGATAATTTTAAGGCAGTAGTCTTACAAGAGACAAATAAACCGCTCGATGAAGACGCAGATCGAAAACTTCGTATAACAGGTTGCTTTGAAGACTTCACCTATTGGAATTACGATAAAATTCCTACGAAAGCAGATCCTTATAAACAAGTTCTACATATACTAGATATATCATCAGAGGTTAGTAAAAGTTAGATAAACAATCGAATTTGTTAATTAATGTTTAATTTTGAATTTACAGCTTTCAAAACCTATATCAGAAGCCGAAGTACAAGCTGAAATAAAAGCAAAAAAGGAAAAAAACTCTGCAAAAGAAAACTGTTAATACATTATTATAAAGTCTGATTCGTTTTTCTTTTTCATGTTGCAAAAATATTTTAACAAATTTGATTGTTTTTATTATAAATTATTTATTTTCAAATAAATTGTACAATTGAAAACTATGTGAGTATGTTAGATTAGATTCAGTCTGCATCGGCAAAACGATTATCCTCTAGACTTAAATTGCGCATGCTTCCTTGTGCATGTCTAACATCATTAGCATCATTCATTGGTCCTAAATCGGCATCATCATCATTGTCCTCATCAATACTATTCATATCGAAATCACTTTCTTCAGAAACGCTGTCATTAGAGTCTGGATGCAATGCTTGACAATCGCACATACGCAAATATAAAGCATCTACAACGCTAGCATCAGTTGGTACGAACCAACACTCAGTCCCAGCAGAATCACCTTCATCCGAAGCGTTACCTTCATCATCATCATTAGCATCTTGTTGATTCATTTGTTCGTTATTTAGATTAGCATGTCCGTTACCAGCTACATCTGCTTCATATGGTCCTGGCCAAATTAATTTGTGATTAAGTGTTAAATAAATACATTTCTTTGGATCTGATGCTTTCGCATGTACACCAATATGTTTCCATGGTATTGAAATGCCGTGAGGAGCGCTTACTGGTTGCCAAGATAGGCAACTGAAAAAAAAAACTTTTTTGTATATATAATAGTTTTTAACAATGCCAACATCATACCTCTCTCTGATATAAATTGTACCACTACCGATGATTTTAGTATCAATTTTCAACTGAACATTTTCTGATGTATACATCAGATCTTCTATTGGCAAAGATATTGGAGCTATTAAAACCATTTTTAAATATGTAATTTACTTTCAAAACAATATTTATAATGTTGGCCGGCGTTTTATGCTGCTCTTTACAGAAAAGTACTATTCACAATAGAAAGTCGAGCCGTTTGCAGACTTTGTTTTAGTCTTATTTGTGTTGCAATGACCAAATAGTAGTCAGAGAAGATATTATTAAACAAATTTTTGGCAATAACGATGATCACAAAAACCAAGTTATTTTATATCAAAAGTTTGAATCATAATAAATGGTATTTCTTGGATATGTCAACAAATCAATTTATCAATTATAATATAATTGCCCCTTTTATGGGAGTATTAAGGAAGTGTGCGAGTTAGGCTAAGTTGATGCTAAACCAAATGGGACTTTTCTTGGGATTTTTTGCACTGCACACATTTAGCCATTTTTTGAACACGTATCGACACATCACTACATTTTCGACACGTATCGACACATCACTACATTTTCGGCACAACTTAAAATTTTCTCATTTAGAACGCAACTTAGCCTAACTCGCACACGTCTTAAAACTGGTTTTAAGGTTCTTAAAATCAGTTTTAGGGTAATGTAAACACCCTAAATTGAGTTTTACCAAATTAATAAACAGACCTAGCTTACTAAAAGTATAAATATATCATGGTAGACGACTTTGAAATCAAGAAAACTCTTCAACTTTTATTTCTAAAAAATTGACAGAAAATATTATTAAATTATGCATTTATTTTACTACGCAATTGAATTTTTATACTCACAGTTTTTTATGTAAATAATAGCAAATATAACTTGCTACGTAATAATATAAAGCTTGTCGTTTCTAAAAGAACACAGAGGATATCTCTAATATGAATAACTATCATTAGACATATGGTAAACTTTAACTTGAAGAAGGTATAAATATAATAGGTCTGCTCCACGAACTACGAGTAGTAACTTTAAGTAACACTATGTAAACACAAGTGCGTTCTACCAGCAAATTTTTGAGTAAATGAGAGCATCTGAGAGAGCGTAACATCCCTGTTGAAATTTAAAAATGCTACACAGACTTTACTCGTATTTTATTTTAAGTAAAATTTGTGTGGATGTGTGAATCAGCTGTTTCGGTTTGAATTTAAATTTTTGTATTATTTATTTGGGTAGCACACCAGTGCTGTTTTATGGAACAGCTTTTACACAAAGCTGTTCCATTAAAATCTGTGTAAAGAGAGTAATTTAACACTTTATTTGTGTTACGCTCTCAGTTTGTACTTTACTTGTGTTTTTCAACGTGTAGTTCGTGGAACAGACCTTATATAACTTCCTTAGTTATTTCCTCTTTCTTAAATTTATTTTAAAATCTATGTTTATGCATATATGATATTAATGCTCTATCAGATAGAAACCGAAAGAAAGAGATGGTTCAGTAAATTTATGAATTTGTGAAAAATTGATAAAACCCCCTCTGAGAAATATTGAATTGTTTTAATAAAAACTTTTGAATGAAGAAATTATTTACATATTTTTATTTAGTTATTTTTATTCTAATTGCTGTGATTCCTTTTGAATCACATAAAATATTTACTCTTAATGTTTACATTTCAATGCATGACGAAAAGCTTATCTCTAACAGGGGGAATACCGTCACTGATAAAGAACACAGATGACACAGTTGCAATGTTTAAAGGTATATAAGCTCTTTCTAGATTCAAAAGAGTATAGTCAAGTTTTAGCAGCAACTTATCAAAATGAAGTTCTTACAATCGTTCGTATTTATTTCATTGGCAATTATGGCGGTTCTACAGTTTGCAGCAGCAGATCCTGCACCACAGCCACAAGTCTTCAAGCCACAACGTCCATACACTTTACCACCACAAAGACCAAAGCCACCAGTATTTGGACCCAGTCGGTTTTAGAAACTCGTTTTTTTTTAATTAAAAATAAACATATACACATATTGAACTTACTATGTATATATGTTTTGTGATATGTTTACATAAAAAACTATAATTGTAAAAAATATTTTAATAAAATAAAAAAAATCATTTATTTAAAAAATAAAATTTTATATTTTTATTAATATTTTATAAGATAAACATTTTTCATTTATTAGTCTTTTTGCAACTTGTCAGACACAGCTGCGGTGTCCGAGTGGTTAAGGAGATGGACTTGAAATCCATTGGGCTCTGCCCGCACAGGTTCGAATCCTGTCCGCAGCGGACATTTTTTTGTTTAAATAATTTTTTTTTTATTATATAAATTTTTTAATTTTGCATAATATATATAATTTATACGTTATTTATATAATTTATGCATAATTTATTTTAATTTGTTCATTTTAGCTATACTCGAAAGATGTAGTATTTGTTATTGTATTTTATTTGTCGAAACTATATAACTTTTTTTTTTATTTGTTTAAATATTTTTATTGTTTAAATTTATAAAAAAAACACAATTCGCTGCGAACAGGATTCGAACCTGTGCGGGCTTAGCCCAATGGATTTCAAGTCCATCTCCTTAACCACTCGGACATCGCAGCTCATATAAGTTGCCGATTAATTTATTTTCAATTAAAATCGATCATTTTAAAGTACTATATACTTTCTGAGTTGAACAAATTTGCTGATGTAGTTTTTCACATAATTTTTAAAGCTTTTAAAGCATATATTGAGTTTGGCTTTTAAAGTTTGCTCCATGTAGATTTGGAGAGACAAGATAACTGTGCATATTTTGGAATTTTTATTTTAATTGTAAATAAAATTAAAATATATCAGTAAAAACTGTATGTACAATAAATGTAATGCGTATAAAATTATATATATGTATAATGTATATATAACATATATAGATATATATGAAATTATATATGTATATATATGTAAAAGCTGCATGGATATATGTATCGTGCTATGGACATATGTTAGACACTAGAAGTAAGTTTTGTCTTAATGTTCATAAAATACATTATATTATAGAAACTAATAATAATTTATCTACAATTTTGTTAGTTTCTCAACTTTTAAAATGTGTAATTGAAAATCTCATTCAAATTTATCTTTTTATATTCCATTATATGACTACTAATATCACTTTCAAAATAAAAACAATTATATTATAAAGAGATTATAAATAAAATGCTTTAACAAAAACAAACAATAAAAATTTTTTACTATTTCTTTTTAATAAAGAAATATTTTTATTTAGATATTATTATTTAAAACACAATTTCAAAAATGTCGCCTTGGTCTTGTAAATGAAGGTTTTGATGGTCTCGGTGAAATCGGTCTAGGTTGTGGTCTGCCATTTCCATGTTTACTTCCCGTGTTAAACTTAGGTTCTGGTGCGGCTATTACCATATGTGAAATAATAGCAAAAAGCACCAGTGCTATAATAAAAATAGACTTGAATAGATGCATTGCGATACATTCGCTTTTACTTATAGATGTTGACTGATCAAGCTAAAGATCGCTAATTATTTTTATACAAAATTCACATTAAAAATGACCAAATATCATCGAGAACATCATATATTTTAATAAAAAAAATTCATATTAATAATATTAAATATAATTGAATAGGTCTGTTTTATTTCTTATCAGTATTGTGCTTCCCCTTCGTAAAAAGCAAACAAATATATATGTAATTCAGCTGGGAATAACTTTCGAAAAATTTCATTGGGTTTCTTTTAATTTATTTGTGGATTTTTGTTTAAGTTTACTTAAGGCTTTGAAAATATTAAATGCTTTGGAATGATATATTTTTTTACCTTCACTCAAGCCTTAAGCATTATGTGTAAAATATAATATATACATACATCTATAGAAATTCTATACAATATATTTTATTCATATTGCATTAATGTGTTTTGAAATGATATATATATTTTGAAGTATAATTTTAAACGTCTGCTAATTTCAATAGTAGTTAGAAGTTAATATAAATTTTTCTATTATAAAACTCTTCATAAGTATACTAAAAAACAGAACAATTATTAAATAGTAACTCTAAATAATTGTCAATAAAATTTATGTTTTTAATAAACTTTTAAATGGTTTATGGTTTACTTAATATACATTTATTTCGTTTTCCTTTTTTTTTATAATTATATCCATATTAATATTGATATTTAAAATTAATTTTTTATAACTACAATTTTTAAGTGATTTATTAAACATTTATTTTCATTAGAAAATAGAATAGAAAGTACTAATATAATTTTGAATATAATAATATTCATCACATTTATAATTATTAAAAGCACTACTCTAAAATAATTAAATTCTTCATTTTATTTCAATTGTAAAATATTATTAATAAAAATATCATTTTCACAAAAGTATACTTTTCTTTCAAAATCTTATAATGCTACAAACAATAAAGTTTTAAGTTTTAAAGTTTAGCACGGGATTTCAGGCCTATTGATTCAAGTACGCCACATGCTTCTAAATGTTTGAATAAATATTCCAGATACTCTTCACGATGTTTAATTAAATGAGCTGCATGCTGTGAGCGTTCCCAACGCTTAAATGTCACTTTTATATCTGCACGTTCCCAATTTTCTCGTACTGCACTATTAGATGACGGTGGACCGATTGGATCATTATCAGATACAAAGAACAAGGCAGGTTTTTTCAAAATAGTTGAGTGAAACATTTGACTGGATCGCATATAATGTATTGTTGCTTGGTTGTGGAATGTTTTCATATGATAACTGAAAAAGACATTTTAAAAACAATGTTTAATATAAATATATATAGGTATATAAATAATTCTTCAGACTTATTTACTTACAGCGTGTAATTTCGTAAAGCGCTCTGCATACGTGGATTTTTGGGGAATATTGATTTTGGTAGGCCAACAGGAATTTCGGTAATATCAGCAGCACTATCCCAGATTTGGCAAACGATGCGATTTAATACTTGAGAGTATCTAAAAGGAATAAGTAATTTTAATATATTTTTTAATTCTATTTGTTAGGAATATATTAGAAATTTATGGCTTATGGCCAAAAAAAGTACAGTAAAATAGTAAAAAAAAACTGTTAATTTTTTTGAGAAGTTTTTGTTAACACATTCTTAAGCATATATATATATATTTTTTTTTTTTTTTATTACCATTAATCTTTACTAAGTTAGGTACATAAAACATATGATATCACTGTTCATTTTGGGAACATTTTGAAGCTCGTAAAAAGCAGAAAATGGTTTTTAAATTAGCGTTGGGCACTTATCTGAGTGAGTTAAGGACATGATTGACTTAAAAGTAAGCCATGCTTCTAAGTAGAGCCGAACAGCTAAAAATAAAGTGTTCCATTGTTACTTCTTCCTTCCACATCTCCATAACTTTCACAATATTCACTGGAAGAAACTCACAGCTTAAGAATCTAACTACTAAATCACAAGCCACTGCTTCAGATGTATTGTCTTGGTAGGCTGAGTTGTTATAGCCCGTTGAAATCTGTTTGTAAAATCCCTTTGGGGATGGCAAACAGTACCCAGTCGTCGAGATTGAGGAGCAGCTTCGAGACATTCTTGGAACCTTGTAGACTGAGTAAATCTGTTAATCTACTGGATACTATCAAGTGTTGGCTAAATTAGACTAAAGATTATACAAATATTTTCATTTGCCCAAGATCTGTTGTTCTCTTAAACAAAACTATTCCTCAATAATATTTTACCAGCGGCGATACGATTTTCAACATCGTTTTTGTCCGCAATCAAGGAAACATTAGTATCCAGTTTAGCAAAGTTATTGACCTACAGTTTTCTTCAGTGTTGTTGCGAAACGGAACCTTTATTATACGAACCCTGAAAACGGGTACCTAACATGCAAACTGGCAACCGTACGAATCTTTCGTCTTAGTACCATTGGGTTCACTAAATTGATGATTATACGAATATATATAGTTATCGTGGTTTTAGTTATCACTTATTTACTAAACTAAACTAAATATATTAATCTTTACTGAACTTATTGTAAGATAAAATAATGTTAACTAATGAACAAATTCTAAATTAAAGAAAAAACAACTAAATATTTGTTTTAATGTTGCAGAACATAACTCAAATCAGAAGTACTTATTAATGTCCCATACCTTTACTTTTAAGAAGCTGAGGACCAAGGGCAACAAAGATCAGGTCAATACAATAAAAGGATTTTCAAAAACTAGATAATTTTATTATAATATAGACAATTGAAGTTTCCGATGATAATAGACACACCTTTGTTTTTTTATAAACAATAATTCACTAAATGGATAAATTCTGGTCTAGAGTACTACTCTTATAACACTTATTACTCTCTTAAATAAATCTTATAACTCAATTAAAGAGACATATATATTGAGCTTTTCTCACCTTTCCATATCACGTGACATTTGTAACATGATCTCACCAAATTGATAGGCACCAACAGAAAATCCATGTAACACAATGGGAGAATAAGTTTTATTATTTTCCAAAAATTTTAAAGTTTCAGCAGCAACAATCTAAAGTATGTAAAAGAATATTATTAATAATTAAGTGTTGTGTATTGAGAAATAAATGACTAACCTGTGTGCCTTTTACTGGCCATAATAATTGCCAAGGTGTGATATGTACGACCATGACATCAAATCCCATATCCGTATATATTTGAGCATATTTTTTTAAATGTTTTTGTTTAGCCATAAGCCATGCCATCATCAATACCAATGGATTTCCAGTTGGTTTTTTGAATCTTAAAAAAAAAGGAAATGTATGAAAATAAATCAAACAAAAAATATATATTATATATCTAAAAATTTTGTTATTAATTTATAGCCAAAAACTGTACATATTATATTACTCTTATTTTAAAATAAAATAAAAATTATTGAAAGAATGTACGGAATTGATTATTGAAAATAACATAAGAAAGAAAGATAGTTCCATTAAAAAAACAAAAGGATTCAAAGCAATTTCAGTAGTTTTAATTATAGTTAATAATTGAAGTTGGATTATATTTGCTTTCATTCTCATAATATAACATAGAATCTCGAAATAAGTGTTCAGCAAGTGGACATCATCCGGACATCAATTAAGCCACAAGAGTTCTTGCTGTGTGAGGGAAGCGATTTTATCACAAGAGATGTCAGACGGAGGTCTGCTAAGATTTTTGTTAGGTTGCAAGTGTGATCTCGTCGTTATTCGGGTTGACTTTTATTATTACCGTTACGATAAATATTGATGTATTAGAGAGATGAATATATGAAACGGAAACAGAAAATTAGAGAACTTAAAATATTCAAATTGATATCAGAAGAATTGGATTGCTTTATTAATATAAGAATATAGTAAAGAAGTTGTGCTCACCGCACGATTAAACGGCAATATCTCGCTGTAGTAGTAGACGTCTCTGACTTTAATACAATTATATGAAATATAGTACCCAGCGACTGGAGTCTGTAATGGTGCTATATTCCATTTAGTTAGACTATATAGAAAGTCGCTAACTATTTGACACTATTGGAAACTCTTCATCATAACATTTAATTAATAAGTTTACGATATCTTACTAAGATAAGTTTGTCATATATTCGAAATTTTTCTTATTTTCACTGAAGCGTACCTCGGTTTTATGGTTTGGAAATGAATAAATGTTATTTATTTACCTAATTTTTATTTAGTTTACTTAAACAAAAAAATATATGGATACATTAATTGATTTCAATTAAATTTTTTTACTTACTCTAGTGTATTTTGATCCACTTCACTCTTGAATTGTCCATTTGTATAGAGCGTCATATTTTTTGTGATTTCTTTGGTAGAAACATAACGTCGATTCTTCAGCGGTGCCATGGCGTTCTAATAATTGTCAAATTAAATTATTTTAATTATTTTGTTAGATTTCAGTTATAATATAATAATATATACAAATTAGACTGAGGTTAGATTGAGGGTAAGGTAAAAAAGTATATCAAAATAATTTAGGTTTTGTGGTTGATTGGAAATAATTAGCATGCACAGCAGACCATGTTAAGTTAATGACATCAGATTTTAAAGGTAAACTAAAACCCAAAAACTACCGCACGCAATTTTGTATACCAAATGTTAAATAAATAATAAAAAAAACAACTATTTTTTTATATTTTCGAAGAATTTAAAAACATCATTAAGAATCCATTGTTTTGTAGCTTAGTAATCTCTAATTTTAAATATATTATTATTCTTATAACTTGAAATAATATATTAAATATAAAATAATATATTAAATATAAAATAATATAGTAAATATAAAATAATATATTAAATATATAACAATATATTAATTTATATATATTATTCTCAATAAGCCTATTTTAAAATATATACAATTTAAAGATTTTAATAATTTTTATGCGTACAGTAAAAGAACATTTTTTTAATAATTCTAATAACTCAACTCTTTATACAAATAGCTGCCTGTCCCATATAGGTCACTAAAACTTTAAGAAGTATTGACCTATTGTGATATTTTTTCGACCCAAGTACCTCTATCGTTTTACTTTTTATGCTATGTACTTTAGACTTCACCTTTTGTGACATAGTTTTTTCATTGAAGAACGTTTGGAGCAGCAGTGCATAGTTTAAAACAGTTTTTTAAGATTTACTAAAGATATACTCGTATTATTCGTAGTTCTTTTAAAAAAATACGATAATAATTAATTAAAATGATATATCGTTTTAGAACAATTTCCCTCTCAAAAAAATACACAATAGTACACTAACGTTCTGTATAATATAATCTGGGTAAATATGATAATAATTTTTAGTTATATAAAAAAAAATGAATAGAGAACTCTGTATAAAATAAAATATCTCGTAAGACATATATCCTTTTTCTATTAAAATCATACAATCAAAATATTAATTAACAAGTGACATTCTTCAATCATAAGATTATCTATAAAACCACTTATACATTTTATCTACCGACTTTAAAGTTTTTACTACCATTACTATCGTAAGCAATTGCAATCGCTTAATAAATTTTCCATTATACATATATATTAATACATATACATACAATAAATTAATTTTTTAAGTTATATATTTCTTATAGACAGATATTGTACTATTGCATTAAAGTCCATGAATCTAATTAATACTGCAGTTTACCTTAATTAATAAATATGGAGAAAAAATTGAAACTGGTCACCACTTAAGAAAAAAACTTTAAATACTGAATACAATTTTGCAAATTTACTAGATCGGAGAACAGCTAAACCTAGAAACAGGTGTTTTGTTATGGGTTCAAAGGCTTACAATGATAAGAGTTAGCTGAGCGTATAATGATAGCGATAAAATGAGATAAGCTAGACGAAAACTTGAAGACATTTGTTTCGATAACAAATTGTGTAGACTAAATTATTTGTAAGTTACTGATAGGTCATCGTAATCCAAATTTATACCATTATTAATAAGTTTTAACGAGTGTGACGTCTGATAACTTAGTATTCGATTTCAAGGTTTCCATTTATCAGAAATATTTTGTTTTATTGGAACACAATTAATGCAATGAGAGTTAGCTTGCAAGTTATTCAAACAGATGGTATTCTAAAGAATTTTAAATAACTTACTATTCTATTATATATTGTTCTTAGAAATTAATTTGTTTTGAATTAATAATATCCATTAAAACTGTAATTTTAAAGAGAAAATTTAAGAATATATGGAAGTGAAATATTAATGAATTTTTTAGATTTACATTTGTAGAACGACGTATGTTTTATACATCAAATAGTTACATCTCAGTAATTTTTTTATCCTATAAAAGTTTTATATTCTTTGTTATAATAATTATCACAAAAAATAATTAATAATAATTATTATATATATTATGATATATATTAAATATAAAGGGATCTTGATCAGGGACCGAAAATTATAATTATTTTAAAAATTAAAAAAAAAAAATTTGTTTACATATATATTTAAGCATATAGTTATCATTCTAACAACTTTTATCCTTAATATTATGCAAGCTTTATATATATATAAGCGTTTTAAAATACAACTGCAACAGAAATTATTAAACTGCTTTATATATTTTTCAAAAATAATTATTCTTATGCGACTTTTCTTTCCCAAGCACAAATAACTTTTATTTTTAAAAACACTACTATTATTTATTATTATTATTTTGTGATTTTATACAAAATGTATGAAAGAGTTGCTTCGTACTCAGAGACCTATGAGTACGATTCTATAACACTTTCTTTTCGTATGTGGATTGAATTTTTTACAATCAGTTGTGGATTCATAAATGTTTTAATTAATCGAACATATGTTAGGTATGTTATCGCTCTTACAGTTATGGTAAGGTATCCTTCTTCAGCAGAACAAAATTGAGGTTGCTGGTGGGATATTTAACTGGTCAACATGGACTGCGCTATCATCTGAACAAAATAGGTCTGTCCAAAGAGATATATTGTTAACACTGCTTAGAAGCAGAGGAGACTTCCAATCACATTTTCTGTGACTGTCCAGCTTTGATCTGGGGCAGGAGGAGGTCACTGGGTCGAGAACTACTCTCCCCTTCTGACATTAGGAGATCCTTAAGGGCTGACATTCTGGCTTTCATTTGGAAGACAGAATAACAATATTGTTCTTCTTTACTGTAATTCATCATATCAGTGGAATAAAGTTTTGGTATTAATGACTTTGAATAATAAGTTTGGTAACCAAATGACATAATAACAAATCATAATAAAATAATGTATTCTATTGTTCTTCTTTAATGAAATTCATTATATTAACGGAATATAATTTTGATATTATTGATTTCGAATAAGTTAGCAGAATAACGTAATAACAGTAGAATGTATAGTATGTATCGTTTTATTTAACAAGTTAACAGTGTTCGAGTAACATAGTTAAAGTGCAAAACGACATCAACAAAATTCAGTTCGAGTACATCCATTTAGTTATTGGCAGTTTACAGTAATACTATGTTACCTGTGACTATCAAGCTTATTTCTTGCTATTCACTTCTTCCAGAAAACAGAAAACGACATAATTTCTGGAGCGACAAAATAAGTTAAGAAACCTAGCATCACAACACACAATTTTTACATATTTCTTCAAATTTTCAATATGGGCTACGCTTTATTAAACCATAAACGGAAGTACCTTCTATAGTTTAAATTATTAGATATTGAATAGAAAGATAGTTGCAATAATATAAAAAATAATATAAAGAAGTTTACAAGTTCGAATGTCGGATAATGAATAAAATGCAAAATATTCAAGAAGTAAGTTCTGTATTTTAGGTTAAATTGGGTTAACGTTGAGAAATATTTTTGTTGTTAGTTAATTTTAGTCTTTAAAAACATCTACACCATTATATCTTAACCTTTTTTGTGTTACATATCCCATTTAAGACTGTAAATAATATTAATTAAATATACACAAGGAGTGTTCGAGATCAATCGACTATTAATCTCTTTTCGAAAAACAAACTTTATCTTTTATCTTTCCGATAAATAATCTTATTATTTTGCTATTGCACTACTATGAGTTCATAAATGGTCAGACTTCCTGACCGTTGCTATTTCAAAGTTTACACTGTCAATGTTCTTGCAATTTCAAATTGCCCCTTTGTGGGATGTATTCCCCACGTTGAGGAACACTGATCTTCAGATCTTTTTAGAACAGTTCTCTTAATATCATAATAAAGTAGTAAAAGCAGAATGCTTAAAATAAATTTGTTCTTGGTTACATTCTTAAAAAAGAACTATTATAAACTTACTCTTCAGTATGCGAAAAATAATCCCTTAGCACCTTAACTAATACTTTTAAGATAGTTAACTTTGTTTTTATGTCTGATTACTGACCACGAATAAGTTTAAAAATAATTGTATTTTTAAAATTAGGTGTATTTAACATTTTTTTTAAAAAACAGTCACAGCTTATTAGGAATGAACCAGAATGCTAGATTCTAACATTTGAAAATTATATGCTATATTACTTACACGATAACAATTTTTAATCAATTTAATTAAATAATATAAAATCGTTGTTAAAATTGCAATATAAATTAAAGTTTCCATTTTTAATTAATTTTTTTATTACAAAAGATTTTTTTATTTTCTTTTTTATGCACAATCCAATTGCAAATCTAAACTTATTTAAATGACTAGAATTTTAGATAAAATGTATAAGAACTTGAAGCGATAATAAACTAAAGTTCGAATCAGATTACTGCCTTACTCTGAATAAGCAAAGGGAAACCGGGTACGGTTCGTAATGCACTCAGAATCACTACTGAGTTTGATGACATAGCTTATAATAGTTCTATTGAAAACAGGGTACGACTTATCTTCAGTACAATACAACAAAAATTTTCGAATAGCATAACTATGCTACATAGGTTATTTAAGGAAGTAAAATATAGTTTTTGAAACTTATACTGAATAATTATGGAACACACACATAAATATAAATATACTTTAAGAGTCTCAACACCCTGCAAAAAACTTTTTTAATATAATAAAAAAGCAGAAAGCTTTAGTAAATTGGTTACAATTTAAAATCTTCCGCACATATCACCTCATCTATGGTATAACATCTAAGTAGTTGCGATTTAAAAAAAAAAATGTGGCTTTTCAATACACATTTCAATAGACTGTAAATTAAGTAGAAACAAGGTTGGTCTTTGGGATCAAAAAAATGTTTTACTAAGTTCAAGTGCTCGATGTAAGATATGAAATTTCCACAGTAAAGCCGCGATCACCGCTTACAGATCAAGTGGGTATGACTATTTTTATCCAACATATTATATATACATATGCATATATACATGTCAATCCCAAAATATTAAATTA